AAAACTTTTTCTCTCCAAAGTAACATAAAGAGTTAGCAAGTCAGTTTACTTGGAGAGCAGCAGTTAATTAGATCAGACACAAAATCTAGATTTATAAAATCCAGTTTTATAAAAAATGAGGCAAATAGATTTCAAAACTTGACATCAGTGATGTCACAACAGTTTTGACTCTCAGGGGAAAGCAATCCAAGGTTGTTTCTTTAAACATGTATTTCAACAAGTAAAGTATTGGGCTAGGAACATGGATGGATCTGTGCAGAAACAGAAACTAAACCTGAAGACGCAAGGTTACAAAGAGAAGACAAGAAAGGTACAACGAGAAGCAGATTAGTCTTTGCACACTTTTCAGTTGTTCTAGCGAAGGTCTGTTACGATCACAGAGAAGGGAAGAAAAATAGGATGATCTTTATCTTCAGTGCAACTTGCATAATGCTTTTGCAAAAGAAAAGCTAGAAAACTAAGAAATGAAAGAAAAAGTGGTTCTTCTGACATGACAGAAAGCAAAAGTGAAAGATACGCTGTGTCAGTCCAGTTTGGTCTTCTGCATGACTTCTAGAATTTCTGAGGCAAGATTCTCATGTGGGGTAAAGCAATGTGACTCCACTGGCTGTAGGGTAAACTCACCAGTTTATGAATGCTGAGGACCCAGTCCCATTCTGTTTGCCACAATGAAACCTTTCTAGGGAATGGAGAATGCAAATACAGCAAAAGATGTTTCAATGGTTGGTACAAGCATAGCACTCAAAACACCTGAGATAAGATTCAGCTTTGGCACAGGGTTCCTACATGAACTTGGGTACATCTTCTTTGGCCTCAGTTCCTCACAGATAAAACAGTGATCCCTAAGGAATGCTGCAAGAATATGTGTTCTAAAGAGTGAGGCACTGGGGTCATATAAATATTTGATGGAGAGCCCAGGAAAAGATGACGAACGCTAAACATTGTCAAGATGGTGAGCAGTGTTGTTAAGTGGGTGTGTACAAGCCACCCCTTACACAGGGATGTGCCATCTTGATATTCTTTGTTTACTGAAAAGAAAAGGAGCACTGGATGCAGGTAGCTTATCCTCCAGGAAGCCACCAATGAAAAACAAGCAGCTTATCTAGCCCTGCAAATCCCCCTGCTTCCCTTCCCTTCAGCAGCAGAGAGCACGATAAAAGCTGAGACGAGTCTCTGTAGGAACCCAAAGCTGTGAATCTTCCTCTCACCCTGTCTGGCCAAAATCCCTTCATTTGCAGGGGGAATTTAGGCCAGAGATCGCCAGTTCTAGCTCTCCGCCAGAATAACAGAGGAGAGGGTTAGAAAGGAAGAAAAACAGCCATAACTCAGCAAGTACAGTCAGAAAGAGAGGAGCAGGAGATGCAGAAAATACGTAGTCCTCTGCTATGTTTCCAGCTGTATCCCCACACTGCTGACCCTTTCAGATTTCCCCCACCATGACATTGGGTGGTATTTTTTTGTCACTTATAAACAAGGATATAATTTGCCATTTAGAAGAAGAAAGAAGCCTGGGACAGGGATAGATTTCTGCTGCTTTGGGGGGCTGCAAACTCATTCCACCCCCCGTTTGATTACAAGTCAGTATTCCAGCCTTAGGAATAGGACACTGACAGATACCTTGGGGTTTCCTGATGCAGCCTTACTGAGGGACACCCCTCAAGACACAGACAAGCCAGTACAGCACTGCTCCACAGCTTGCTGGCACTAGCAGGACTTGGTATAGAAAGGGACATATTCTCCATCGCAAATACAAAAGAATTAGAGAATGGAGAAAATCAGAAGTGAAAACAAAAAAGGTGCAGCTGAAGTTTGAGGTGGTTAAAATGAAAAATGGGACTGTGCCGTTCGCAGGTGGATAGATAGATCAATCAATTGATCTCGTCTACACTGACACACTTTGGAGCTATAATTCACTGCTGGGGCAATTATTCCAGCATAGCAGTGGCAGGAGTTATATCGGAGACAGGATTCAGGTGCTTTTAGTCAGGGGAGAGTTGGACAACAAAGGAGTAAAAATTGGTAAATGCCATCCACCAGTAAAGATACATGGGATATAAGTTATGTCTGTGCAGTTGCAGAGCATAGAGGGAAAGATAGACAGGTAGATAAATAGACACATAAAAGTCTGAGTTTTGGTTGTGCAATCATTCGCTGTCTGACCTTATCCTCGCCTCCCCTCCACTACTCTTAGAGAGAAGAGTGTTTAGCATTATTGTGTCCCAGTCTCTTTGCCATGTTACTGTTGACTTCTTTATCCCCCCGCACTGAGTAAGTGGTGCTGCCTCTGGAAGGTACAAGGAATTTTTCTTCATAAGCCTTGATGTGTTCAAGAGAGGGCTGGGCTCATCTCTGCTGTGAGTCTGACAGGGGCTTTAGCAGCCTCACAACACCAGGACAAATAACTCCTGGTCCCTTAACCCTTCTCAGCTTTGCGAGGCAAGGCCTGGCACTGTTGTTCCCATTGCAAGGGCTTTAGACAGTCTTTCAGGCTGAAATCCTCTCTCTGGTGGCTGGGCAGAGCGGAAATCCAGAGGCTGGATCAGATTGTCCTAATGCTACAGCAGCTTAAGCGGGCTGTTTTACCAGAGATTATGGTTTCACTTACACAGAGCGCCTGAAAAATGCTGCGGTTTAGGAAGGATTATAGCTGAAAATTCCATGCTTTAAAAGAGAAATAAAGCAGGGGAGGGACTAGGAAACCCAACGTGCCTGGGGGCTGTGCAAACAGGATTAACCTCTGCCCATAGCACCTCTTGCTTCTGCCCACCCACGCTTCCCGTGTCCATCCTCTTTTCTGCCCTTTCCTCCCCAGCGGCTTCCCACACCTGCTCTCTCTTGCACAGTACGGAGAGCTGAAAAAGGAGCCCGGAAAATGCCCAGGACCAAAGTGTCCCTAGTTTATTTAGGTATGACCGTCAAACGGCTTCCTTGAAAAATATCACTTCACTTGCAGCTCCTGAAAGCCAGGGGAACTTTTGGCCTTCTGCCTGCAGATAGATCTATTCATCCAAATTATCTAGTACCAACATTGTTTGGATAAAGGCTTCAGCACTCCCAGACTGCTGGTGGTGACTCTGCCTGTCTGGCCTGAAGGTAAATCTGTGCACTCCTTGCCATCTGATGACAGAGGATGCAGGGGTTCTCCATCTACAGAGACTGGCACTGGCACGTGAAGGCTCACTGATAGGACTGTAGGATAGTATATAGCTGTAAAAAGCAGAAGCTGGGCAGTGATGTGCTGCCTACTCTGGTGACTTTAATTAACTGTGCAACAAGAACCAGATACTCCAGCTTCTATTCCCCATATCCTCCACAAAAGGTCCTTGCCAAACAGAGCTTTCTATAGTAAAAAGGGAGAAGAAATTACAATCCTCACTTAGCATACCAGAGACTTCACGTAAGTAAATTAAATAACTTTTGGCCAGGACCGATCCTTCCCAATCAACTGAACCATGAAGATATGTCTTTGCCGCAAAGGAGTCTCAGTGATCTGAGACCTTTGCTGGCCATCCATGTTAGAGGTACCAGGAGGAGAACACAGATGGCAAACTACCATTTTTGCCAGGTAGCAAACCTTTAGGAAACAAATGCCTCAAGATAAACAGCATTCACAGATAGAAACTGCCCAGCCCTTTATTGTCTAGGTGAGCATTGCAGCCTCACAATAAGGGGCCTACAGTTAATTAAGCCAGTTCTACATTAATGAAGTCAGATTTATGACCTAATTATATGTCACATTTATATTTCTCTGTATAAATCAAAACCACCAGAACTAACTTATTTCATGGCCATTGGCAACACTTGCCATCACGGCAGAGAGATGGCTTTCATTTATTGGCTTTAATTTGTTTACCTGAGGGTGGATGGTTTGCTAGATTATTTGGATCAGATCTGATCACATCATCCATACTTCTCTTTCAGGTGTTCAAATACAGGACTCTATTACTGCTGACCCAACAACAGTGGGTGTTCTGGAGTACCCGTACTTTAGGTCACAGAGTTCTCCAATTCCCAAACCTCTTACTTGGCAGCCAAGTTAGGAGCAGTTTCAAAGCTGTATCTATCGTGCCTACGCAAGTCTGCACATCAGAAATGGAGGTCCAATGCAAACAACAATGAAAATGAGACCTTTTATAAGTCCCCCACATTTCCTCTCCTCCATTTTATCTCTCTGCCAAGGTATCTGTCTGGCAACACTCTACTCTGGCAACAACCACAGTCAGTACTGACTGCTTTTATGGTCAAAGCCCCAAAGTGTGCCACTGTGAATGGTATCAATTGATAGATCTAAATATCTATCTATCTATCTCGCTACCCACCTATTAATCGCACAGTCCCATTTTTTCATTTTAACAACCTCAAATTTCAGCTGCACCTGTTTCGTCAAAGCTTTTACAGAGTTTGGCTTGACAAGCTTTGGCCATTACACCGAGCATCCTGTTTAATAGATGCTCATAACCATGCTGTTCTCCTGGGGAAGGTTACCTTGGGTTTGAAGACACAAAGTGGTGTAATTCCCTGGGCCAAAGTGGGCTACACTGTGGAAGTGTAGCATCTTCATACGCCCTCGGCCAGCAAGAGAAAGCAGCAGGAAAGGGAACACAGAAGCTTCAGAGCATTCTTCCCCTTCCCAACACTATGCTTCTTCCTGTCCTCCCTCTCCTGCATGTTCCCTCCCTCACCTCTCCTTTTCCTGCATCCCATTTCTCCCATCTGCCACTGCACTCCATTCTCCTCATCTCCTGCTGCCCCTGCAGAGGCATCCCTGCAGTCAGAGCCTAGCCCCCGAGTGCGTTTACTGCTGTTGTCTCAGCACTGGCTCCTCTGATCTACTCCTAACCTTTTTATTTTTATTTTTGTTTTTAAATTAATTTCCCTGTAGATTTTAACCACTCCATTTTCATTTACCCATTTTGTTCTTCCTCTCCTCCCTTCCCCACCCTCCTCTTCCTCCCCCTCTTCCCCTTGTCTGTCTGTGTCCATCCCTTACCCTACCACAGAAAACCTCTCCTCTCCCCTCAGTATAAAGCAAGAGCCTCATGGAGCCTCTCTCACCCCTTTCACCCCCACCACGCCGGTCGGCTCTGGGCAGGCTGATCTTCAGCCCTTCCACATGGCCCTTTCAGACGATGCGTCCACGCCTTGCTACAGTGCCTTCCTTCATCATGGTGCCCACTTTGGGCAGTCCAGCAGCCAGCCTCTGATAGCAGGTAACCGGCCTTGGCCACAAACTCAGTGGGGATGCTGCAGGCAAGGGGTTCAGTTTCGTCTGATGGGGAGACCAGTAAATGCTGCAAGCTCTTTGAGTGCAAGTGGGAACCAAAGCAACCATGTTCCAGTTCTGTGTATGCAGCACATGTTCTCAGCTCCACGGAGAGTCACAAAAAGACTTCATGCCTGTCCTTCACTTTTTAGAATAAAATGGGAAAAGAAGCTGTAACTACCTAGAAGTGACTGGGTGTCCCAGTTGGATGGGTTTGGGACTTAGTATAGAAACACTTGTACAGCAAAATCCTGTGTTGCCTCAACAGCCATAATGCCCCTGAGTACTGTAGGCCCAGCAAGGGTACTGTGTGCTAGCCTAAGGTAGATGATTGCAGCTTGAATAACCTAGCCAGCTCTAGGACTGTTAGCAGGGTTGTTCAGCATGGGTTGTACAAACTACTAAGTTAGATAAATACATAGGCAGTTGGTGAGCACTACCATAGTTATGTTGTGAGCAATATTTGAGTCACCTGGTTTGGGACTGTCTATGTGAGCTGGTGTCTTCACACAGCAGACCAAGTAGTTAAGAAACAGGGCATCACATCTGAATGTAAAGACCAGGAAGGGTGGGTAAGAGACTATAATGTCTTACAGCCAAAGGAATACAGACCTGAGGTAGATGGCCTTTAAGGGAAGGACAGAAGTGAAGAAATAGGTTGCAGAAGATGACAGCACTTAGGGGCAGCAGGCTGGAGGGGAGGAAGGAGGAGTTTCAAGTAGGTACTAGGGGAAACTCATGTGCAAGGTGACTGAAGCAACATTGCTGCAGAAGCTCAGGGGTGGCTTGGATGAAATAGTGGGAATCATTTTAGGTGACCACTGAGGCTGTTGTCACTCTACTGTCAAAGAATGTAATTTGGGCTTTTTCAGAACAAAGTCTTAGTGCAGACCATAGTTTCTAATGCTCAAGAAACACATCTTACCTCTGCCTCCTTCATGTTCCTATATTATTTTTCTCTTTTAACCTAACATCCTCCCTTTGTCTTGTCAGGTGAGATTTGCATTTCTAAACCTCCCTGTAGGAAAGCAGCAAGTAACAGCAGAGAAGACTTTTGTGTTCATAACACTGTCTTGGTCCAATCTTACTGCAGCCAATAAGAGCCTCTGTGCCCTGGGCACTTCCTAAGCCAAGGAGTCTCCTGACGGACTCTCTCCAACAATATAGTTCCCTGGGGATGCAGTCATATATGACCACCCACTAGCCTAGAAGGCACTGTGTTTCAGGAGAGGCACCTGCCTTAGGACCCTTATAGAGAATTAGACATGGGAGGAAGTGCTCAAAAGCTCAATGTCACAGTGATGAAGGTGCTGCTCCTCACTCAGAAGGCTCTGGGAGAAGGGAGAATGGCTGGAGTTGGAAGCATGTTATGAGCAGGATAGGTGCTAGCTTTGCCATAGCCCTGCAGTACAAGAATTTAATAATCCTGTCTACCTGTTGGTAATGAGAGGAGGTAATGGAAGCGGCCTGCTTGTATGTAACAGCATTTTAACAGTGTCTCTGTGGGACTCTTATTCATGTTGCTGATACTGTACTTGTTTCTTATCTTCTTTTTCAAGATTGGGATTTTGACAGATTATCACTTCCCAACGAATTTTCCATACTGAGTTTTGAACATCAGTCTCTCTGCACTCATGTCTGAATAAAAACACAGGGGCATATGTGCATAGATAGAGTAGCAGAGTGAGCGTGTATGCGTTCCCACTTGAATGGAAGTGTCAAAATGAATTGATTTTGCCTGCTGCTACATAACGTTCTCCCTAACTTTTCAGTGACACTGTTTTCTCATTCATCACCTGTTGTTATTTCTCAGGCTAGTCACTATATGAAACCAAAAGGACATGAATTTTAAGCATAAAACTTTCTTGTTTTAAAAGAATGTGAGGGGAAAAAAAAGAACTATATCTAGTAGGTGTTCATCATACAGCTTAACACACAGCTACAAATCACTAAAGGAATGATGGTGATAAAAGAGTAGAAGAGTGTAGAATATAAATCCCTGAGGCATTATATATATATTTTTATCAGTATCGGGGAGTGGCTGGAAAATGGCTCAGCTGTTGTCTGATAGTTCTGTGCCATTATCTAAGAGGAGGTGCGCTAGGAACATCAGCCACCGATCAGAAACCTCTTCAGGGAGAAAGAATGAACTTACATTTCTTTTTTCTTGAGCAAATCACCTCAGTAATCTTTAGTCAAGACCTATGAAAGCAATGACACTGGTTTAGCCTACCTCATCCCAGAGAAACTTCCTCCCTTCAGGTTAATGCTCCATGTTGATTAGTTTTTGCTTTGCTGTGTAACTGTTATTTATTTCTGATTCCCCAGCCAAGGTTCGTGTTTGTTCCAGGGCCTGCTTTATCAGTTATCACTCTGCCACTAGTAGAGCTAAACCAACTCTTATTCTTCTTTCACTGGCATATCCCAGCACAGTTCCAGTGACTCCAGTGGTGTTAATGGGCCATACTTAACCTGTCACTTCTAAAGGTGAATCAGGCTCCAGCCCTCCATTTAGAACAGACAGGAGAGACAAAATTTTACAGAGAAACAACAAATGGCACAAACTTCTTAGTGAGCTACAGTTCACCTAGGGAATATGAAAGGCTTTGGATGCCTGGAACAGGCTGAGATCTCAGTAGGCAGTGTTGGAGGTTGAGCTGTAAATCTCCCAGCAGCTGTGGGGGAAAGATTATCTTACTCCAGCCCTCCATTTAGAACAGACAGGAGAGACAAAATTTTACAGAGAAACAACAAATGGCACAAACTTCTTAGTGAGCTACAGTTCACCTAGGGAATATGAAAGGCTTTGGATGCCTGGAACAGGCTGAGATCTCAGTAGGCAGTGTTGGAGGTTGAGCTGTAAATCTCCCAGCAGCTGTGGGGGAAAGATTATCTTAATTTATTTTGCCTTTTTTTTTTTTTTTTTTGGTTTTGGCTTGAAACTCCCAGCAGCTTCTGAGATGATTTTAGTTCATTTAAATGCAATAAGCACTAACAGCAAAATGCCCTTCTGGCTGGCCCATTTTCAGGCTAACCAGTCCAAATGAGGAAATGCCTCTGGCATCAACCAAGAAGCCTCCAGCTGCACTTCCTAAGAGATGAAAAAAAACCTACAATCATCCACCCAGTCCACACCCCTCTCTACTTCTTTGGTGGAGAAAAGATATCACGACTTGAAGTATTACTAACAAAAACTTGTACCTGTGATAAAAATGATCCTATTATTACATATGTTACACCAGCACCTGGAAGGAGTCCAACCAGTATTGATCTCATGCTAAGCACTGTGCACAGGTACTATAAGTGTGCCCTTGCACCAAAGAGTTTGCAGCATAAAAAGAAGCACAGAGAGGTGAAGTGACTTGGCTAAAACCATCAGCAGGTGAATGGCAGAGGTGGGAAGAGAGACAGGCACAGAAAACTCTTGGATCACTTTCCAATGCCTTGCACATTGATCATGCCCTAAAGCAACATCACCACAGTTTTGGAACTGCATCCAGTGCATATAGACAGGACCTCAGCTACTCTGGCAATGAATACGCTGCCATTCTCTGTGCAGCTTAAGACCATTTTGATTTAGTTAAAATAGATCCAAAATCTACAATGAAACAAAACAAATTCTTTTGAGCCTCACCAAGCTAGGTTTTAACATCCATCCTTACCATGTGAGATCAAAAGTGCCACAATCTTCCGCCAAAATTTTCAGTGGGTGGACAGCACTTATGTAAGAGAAGGCTGCACAGCACTTGCCTACCAAGCTGCTAGTCAGGGACATAGGTGGTATCAAATCAGTATTGAAAGTCTTATCCCTATTGATCACTTGTCCTGATTCTTTCCCTTTCCAGGTCGTGATATGGCAAGCACCACCTTGCCTGGCTACCCACCCCATGTTCCCCCAACTGGACAAGGCAGCTACCCAACCTCAACTCTTGCAGGAATGGTTCCTGGTAAGTCAGCCTCCAGACTTGAGTAATGGTGCACACATGTTTGAGTGCACACTAGCATTGTAAGAGCTTTCACAGTTGGCTTTGCTATTGCTTTGCTGATATTAGGGCCTATTCTTTTCATAAAGAAACCATCAGGTGCCTATAACCAATATAGCTAACAACACTTTCTGTAATGTATCTCTTTCCCCCTAGTAACTGATTCACTGCTGCCATGGGCAACTAGATATCTATAACCTGTGGCAATTAATTGGTAATTAATTAACCTTAGTATTCATTAACTAATGTCATTATTTTCCAATGACCCGTGCAGATTATTATGTACTGCTCGTGGCTCAGGATATTCAGCTATCCACGAACTTAGGGTAAGAACTTACCTTCTATCTAAATCCAGGGCATCAAACTGAAAATCATCAATGGTAATTTAAGACCTGCAGGTTTTGGAGACCTACTGTCCATAGCCTAAACTAGCTAAGAATTCAGCAATGATTAACAGCATTTCAGGAGAAACAAACTATTCACTTTCAACAACCAACTGCTTACCCACCTCCTGTTTGTAAGATAGTTTCTTGGATTGGAGGCACTATCTACCTAATCCTACATCCAAAGGCAAACTGTTTCTTTGCTACCCAGTGCCTTTGGAGAAATACCTTCTCTTGGCAAATGGATTCTCCCGCTGTTTAGGGAGAACATTTCACCATTTACTCTGGGGCAACTGAGTAGTTTATTTTCCCAGGCTCTATTCCCCACTCCTCTGATGACAATTATCCCCAGAAAAAAGGCAGGATTTTCCTTTCTCAGCCACGATAGCTCAGAACTTCATCTGCCACTGATTTCTGTTTATGTTACTGCCCTGGGTTGTGTGTCGTGACAGCTAATGAGCAGGTACACAGTCCACTCTGCAACCACTGCTACTGGAGGGATAACTCCAGAACTGAAGCAGCAGAAAGCTTGAGGACAGAAAGTTCTTAAATCACGATGATATGATTTGCCAGGGCTTATGAGTGAAAAGCCTAACTTAACCCTCATCCAAATCTCAGAACAGCTAGCTAAATGAACATACACTGCAGCGAGGACAGTGAAAATATCACTGATAGGAAATGTTTGCAGGTCAAAGTCTTAACATCTTTAAATGACAAATCACTGCTTACATACCATGAAGTACTGGCTAATACCTACGGTCACATTCCAGAGCTAACAAGCTACATACTGCTTATGATCCTAAGGCACAACAAAATCTCGGGCTATGCTGTGAAGATGATGTGATTGACCTCCAGATCAGGAAAAGATAGTGGATTGGTCCCCTCCTCACCCCCACTTTAGTCCCTTGGTATAGTTGACCAGCTTGCTGAACTTCTGGGGTGGTTCAGAGTTGGCAAATTTTAGGAAATCTCCTTCTACACTAAATTTTTCAGGGAGATTATTTGGTTCCAGAATCAGAGGAGCACTAAGGCAATATCAATCAATTAAAAACCCCCACACAGTAACAGTAGGTAGACTCAGTTGTCAACATTTAAGTCAGTTATAGGTCAAAACTGACAGAAGGTCATGGCATGTAGAAATGATTAATAACACCAAAATACCTGGCTCTCTGAATAGGTACTTCTGAAAAACAGGCTCTTCTCAGCTTCTCAATTGTTCAGTGACTGCTATGTAAGTTTAACATTCTCATCACAAGGATGATACTTACATCTAAACTGGGACAAAGATTTTAAGACCACTGATCACAGGGGTCATTTATCCAAGAACAGGTTATTTCAGCTCCTTGATGTGGTGGCTTCTTATCCATAAGACAGCAGTGTCCCCCAAAACACACAAATACCCCCCAAAAGAAAAGGAACAGGATGATAAAGAAAAAAGTTGAGTTATACTTCAAAGAAAAAAAAGATTATTCAAGTCAAATGGATATCTTTACATTAAATCTGATGTCAACATTCAGTTAGAGGAAGTTTTTCTGGTGGCCTGCTTGGGCGTCCTGCAGTAGTTACTGCATGTGTCCACAAAGCATCAAGTTCTGGCTGTTTCAGTCATACCCTACTGGTCAGACCCAGCCTGGCAGCCCTTCTATTCCTGTCTTCTAATGTGACTGAAGCCAACAAGCTGGAGATAAAGAGGCTTCCTGGGAAGGAACTTAAGACTTGACTTTAATGGGTCACACTGCAGATTTCTGCAGCCACTACTCTCTGTCAGGGGCCAAAAGTGAACGCCTAGGGAAGGGTATAAGAGTAGAGCAAGCACGTATCAGCACTTTCTCAAAAGATCTCCCATCCTCCAGCAAGTTCCAGCTCAGAGACTTCCTAAGCCAGACTTAGTATCTTTCTATTTAATATTAAACACCCTCGATAGGTTACCCCTCCACAAACTTAAACAATGTCTCTTGAATCCATATAAGCCTTTAACATCTGTAGGAACCTACGGCAAGAAGTTCTGTAGCTTATCTACATGTTGTGTGAAAACTACCTCCCTTATTTGTTCTGAACCTGCCACCTGCTAGGCTCACTTCATGCCTCATGGTTTCTGTATTAGAAGACTAAACATGCCAAGATTTAAATACAGATACCAAGAAATACTGTTAGTAAAGGTTCCCAGAGCACAGATTGCACAGAATATAGGCCTCATGAGATCGATCCTCTGTGCTTGCTTGCAACCTCTGTTAAGAGTCCAGGTTAAACAGAGAGAACAAATACGATGTCACCAATGGTTTGTTACATGCCCCAGGCCAAGAAAGATCAGGGGCCAGTGCTTTAACTACATTGGAAACAAGAAGCCAGCAAGATGTCCACTCAAGGAGTATCTTTAAGAAAGGTACTGACACACAAATGAACCTTATTGTCCAGATGTGAGTGAATATGAGAAAGAGGCTCTGTCTTCTCTAAATAAAGGTGCAGAGCTAAAAATAGAACTGGTCAGAAAGCAGAATTTCCAACCCATGCAAAACTCTGATTTTTTGACATTTGTTTTCATCTTGCATTGGGATGAGGAGTCAGAATCTTGAAATCGTTCAATTTGCAAACATCAGGATGAAACATTTCAATAAAGTCAACATGTTCTAGATGTCAAGACTTATTAAAATAATAAAAGAGTCGAAAGGAAATTAAATGAGATGAGAAAGGCAAAATGAAACAAAACAAGAAAGTTGAAACATAATACTTTGTTTCAATTTGCAGTCATTTCAGAACTTTTCTTTCCAAAACTCCATTGAAGCTGACAAGCTCGTGCAAAGCATTTCCATTTCAATGAGACAGGATTTTCCACTGGAAGACTGTTTCTGAGAAGATTGTTTGACCAGTGCTATCCAAAGCTGCTCTGTTCTATCCGTGACAACCTTTCACTAAACTTCTACTTGTATAGTCTAGAGAAGAGCTTGTCTCTAGTAGCAGTACATCCATGCAACATGGTCAGTCATGCATGCAAATATCTCTGAGGTTTATGCAGATGGTGTGGTAAGATACATATCCTGCATTTGCCCTTGCCTGTAACTTCAGGTCCCAGGCTGTAGACGTGGATCAAAGCCAGTAGTCTCTGAGCACACACTTGAAAAAGCAGGGGTTAGTCACTCAAAGAAGGGTAAATCGGGTATTGTGGTATTGTGCTACACTTAACCCGTGTGTCTGAGAGATGTTTCCTGCACAAGTAACAGAGCACCTTTGATCCCCGCCTCAATTCTTCCTCTTTCCCAGAAAGGCCATCAAGTTTCTGCAAACTGTTTTGGTGAAGCGAGCATCCGCTGAAGAGAACTGCAGTTTACACAGAGCAGCGCAGAGCCTGCAGAGGGCTGGTGATGGCAACGGCAGGGAGTCGTTAAACAGAATCCAATGTTGATGAGGAAATTACACTTGTTTCATTAGTGATCGGGGAAGGCGATAGCTCAGTTCCTCTTGGTCACAGTTGAGCTCAAAAGCTCATTATCCTGCTGCATGCATGCTTTCACTCCTCGTCAATAAACACTGTTTCCAGTGGCTGCCCTCCCTCCTCCCCAACTCTCCGTAGCTGGGGCTCTTTCTCCTCTACTTAACCCGTGCTTTAGGAACACTAGAAACAGTTTAGGGTGACAACTCAGAAGAGGGTGAGAGAGAAGCTTTGAAATATCAGAACTAATTCTCTCCATGCAAAGAAGTGGTGTTTATACGAGGCATATCAAAGCAGAAATTCTCATTTGGATAGTTTTTTTCTTTCTTTGGGGGGCAAACTCATTGCAGTATATGCCACAGATAAGTTCACTTCAGCAGAGATAAATCTGGACTATGCATTGCTTTTTGCTTTTGTATCCTATCCCATAGGATCTTGGTCACCTTAGCAGGTTTCACCTATTCCTTCCCAGCTAGCTGTCAGGATTTTCAGTGCAGAATGTTTCTAGATACTGAAACATGCTGAGTTATATCATTAAAACAGTATTTAGCAAGGTCTGTCACACAAAATGAGGTTTTATGCTGAAACTAAAAGCTACTGTGATTAAAATACCTTTGGATGGTGATTGCTTTTGATACATACACATTTTCGTACTGACTACTTTGGTTATTACCCTGAATGTCTTTAAAACACCTGGCTGGACAGATTCTCCTCAAGTTTAAACCAGTGCAAATCCCCTGCTTTCAACAGACTTCATTTCTACCATCTGAGAATCTGTGGTTTTGGCTTTAACTCTCTGGTGAGGGGAGATCTGCAGAGATTACAGTATAATTAATTGACATTTCTTTGGTAATTGTATCACAGGCATCCAGTGCGTCTTGCATTGCCTTCTTTCCCTGTTCCATGGTATCTAGCAGGAACCCCAGGTGCTTTGCAAACACTTCTGCTGTAACAACCCCACCCCCGCTTCAGGGCAGACCAGAAGCTAATAGTCACGCTGTTCTTTCACTGTCTTTTAAGTGCATAATGCCTTTCAGATGGCACTAATCATCCCCAGCCTGTTGGTACTGCATTAAATTGAGGTTATGATCAGATAATGGCATGTTTTTACTTAACGGAATCATATATTTTTAAGTTTGGGGAGATTTATTTAGCACCATGCACCATGCCTCCTCAGTTACCAAATATAATTCCCTTAGCCCTGCACAGCCTTCTATAAAAGGCTCCTTATGCACAACAAACCGGAATATTTAAGAAGACTCTACAACATTCATATCTTGGGTCAAAGTCTTATTAGATCACAAAGCTCACAAGTATTTTGGTTTGGGCCCATTTTACTGAATGTGAAAAAGGGAGCTGTAGCCCAGCTTGTCTTTCAGATTCAGAATAGCACCTAAAGTACTAATCATTAGAAAATTATTTTCTGGAACCGGAACTCAGCAAGTTTTCTCTGTAACTCACTAACTAAGCATAAAGGTGTGGTTCATTCATATACGAATCACTTTTCTGACTAACAGCATCACATAGAGTAAGAAAGAAAAAGCGATTCTTATGTTTTCCACTTTGTTTTATATTTAAGCCCACCCTACTCTCAGAACATTTCTAATAACAAACGATACTCTTCTCCACAAATATGTCATCACCCTCAGCACCTTAAGAACAAAATTAGCAATACATATTGCCATCAACAGCACTGCTGGTTCCAAAGGGTTTTATGAGCTTGTCCCATCAAACTGCCATGCCTGCTGTCTTGACACTAGTGGAGAACCTTAGATTTTATTTAAAAGAAAGATGATAGTTAATTGCAGAAAAAGCTTGCATATGCAATCCTACTGCAACCTGAGAATCAGAAGTCAGAAGGCAATGAAAAATAAACAAGCTTAATTATTTTTTTGTATTATTGAATTTCATTATTTTAAACTAATTTCTTGATTCTGAAGAGGTCAATCTTACGATTTTTAATTGTATGGGTAAGCAACATTGCACTGAACAAACACTACAGTGTCCTGAAGGGCACAGTCCCAGCTGGGCAAGGAAGCTACCTATAGACCAGTTTTCCTGCTGGCATACGGATTCAACACGAACACTGGCTTGATGGAATAGCAGACATAAATCTTAATTCTTAACTGTATTTCACACCTTCCTTGCTTTCTTCCAGGGAGCGAGTTCTCAGGGAACCCCTACAGCCACCCTCAGTACACAACCTATAACGAGGCCTGGCGGGTCAGCAACCCTACATTACTAAGTGAGTACCTCTTTCCCACAGCACACCCCCAGCCTCGCGCTCCTTCTGTTTGTCTCTTTGTTTTCTTTTCTTTGTTTTTTTTTTTATTTCTGAAGAGGACTTTCAAGTATTTGGCCAGGGGAGAGGCCTTTTTCCTCACGCTCCAGTCCAGTGTCTAGATGGGTATATACCTCATGTGTGTTTTGTATCTGTTCTGAAGCCGATTCCTCTTCCTTGATATGGTTCAGAATTCCAGTTCAGCTCTGTCTTCCCCATGGCCTGCATCTACAGTATCTTCCAGATGAGATCAGAAGTTAAATTCAGGTTCTACTACTCTCTCAGGCTGCAATCAGCATGCATTCAAGGTTTGATTAAAAATCCAGATGACGTTTCACTCCTTTCCCAAGCTAAACCCCCATCAGTTCCTGGGGATCTGGAAATCCAGTAGAAGTTCTTTCTATCGGACTAGTTGGAACAGTGTCCAGAGCGGGAGACAGGCTGCATCACTAGGTTTATAATAGCCAGTAGACTTTTCTTGCAGGGATATATCCATCTCCAGTGACCCTAATATTCCCAGAAATAGTCAGGTTTTTTCAGAGGGGAAAAAATCTCCCATAAGACCATATCTTCTAACACAATATTTCTTTGCAAGGGAATAGGAAGAGATTTATTATATGTAAAATAAATCAGCTGTGATTATTACCGACGTATTTACTGAGGTTTAACAACTGGATAATAGATGCACATTTTATTCCAGTGTTGTTAAACCTCAGTAAATGTGATCTTAATAATCAATCATTATTTAACACACATTCAATAACCATCTAGAGAGCTTTCATGCCAAATGTGACCAAAATCCCAAGCAATAAAACATTGTAATTTTGTTTCATTTTTCCCCTCCTCGTTTTAAAAGTGACCCACTATACTTTGTCAGGTATGCTCAGAACATCTGGCCCTGACACCTTCCTTGTGGCTGCAGACCAGGAGTAGCGTATTTGTGCTGCAATGCTCACAGGCTTCCCTCTCAGCAACTCATTGATAGTCAGAAGGAGCAAAAGGATCTCCTTCCTGTAGAGGGGCTTCAGAGCCAGAGGCCATGGTAGTATCTATCCACTGAAACGTGGCTCTTGGCTGGCTTCTGCAATTGCCTTTCCCTAATCCCATCAAGAGCTGAGTCCCCAGGTTCGTTCTTTTGGTTACTTTCCTTTTCTTTCTTCCTTTCCTTTTCTTTTCAGTTCTCCTTTGTTTCTTTTCTTTGTTTGATTGCTTTTTTTGTTTGTTTGTTTCTTTTTTTTTTTTTTTTTTTACTGTTTG